TCATTGATAGAGAACCAGAGGAATTATGGAATGAACTTAAAGAAGTCATTAAGGATGAATGCGAAAAGAGGCTGCCAAAGATGAAGAAACAGAAGAAAGCAAACTGGATGTCAGAATGAACAGTAGAAATTGCCAAAAAGAGGAGAGAAGCCAAACCCACGATCTGGAAAGCTGTGAAGTAGATTGGCAGAGGTTTTCCTGTGTAGGATTTTCCCTTTCAAAGCATAGTTAGTTTTAGACTAGAGACATTGCAGGAGGAGAGCTGTGTTAGTATCCGGTGGCAAAAAACAGGAGTAGCACCTTTTCCAACTAACAAATTATATTACAAGGCGTAAGCTTTCATCAGTGATCGTATCCATAGACAAGTTAATAGAGCTAGATCAATTCCCTGAGAGGACCTATTAAAAGTCAGACCACAAAAACAGAACAACAGAACATTACAGAATAATAGAACATCTAACATTCCAAAAAGGCCAAAGTTTTTGTTCTCTCTACCCAAATGAAAGTGGTTATTGGTCTTCCATGGTGTACATGCTCACAATTGAAATCATTATGGATTCTTCTGTTTGCTTAGGTATTTGGGATATGTGTATTAGTTGCCATGTGGGAGAGGGAAGGCCCTACAATGTCTTGCCTAAATAAATGGGAATTTGCCCATTCACTTTAGATACATCTTTTTTCCCTATTTTTCATTACTGTATGCTTTCTAAAGGTTACTTGTTTTTTAAATTAATGACAATCTACATAAAGTTTAAGAAGAATGGACATACCCAAAGTTCTTCAGATTTATAACATCTCCAGGATAGAAAAGATGACAGCCAATCATTTAAATGCATTCCTTCAGGTTTCAAATAAATCCAGTGAAAAAGCTTTTGCTGAACTAATTAAATGTTTAGTTCATAAAAAAGTATCTAATATTCCTATTATTACTATGGTGCACCAGGTTCCTGGAAGGAAGTTGAGGATCAAAGACATCAGTGATTTTTTAATTGTATCCTCAAAATTTGGAATCCCACAATCTATGAAGAACTTTGGATGTAACTATTGCAAAACATGATTACATATTGCTGGAAGCATGCGTGTGTGTGTGTGTTTGTGTGTGTATATATATATATCAGACCATAAAATTGGCTTAATAACATTTGAGAATTTTTAGGTTTAGAATAAGCTTTGTATTAAAGGAGAAGCAAAACCAGATGTCATTCAATATAGTCTAGATTTAATTTATCGTGTACAAATTGAATTATAATTGTGAAATTGAAAAGTATAATATAATTTCAATATTTCAATATTTTATTAATTTTTCTTTTTCTTCAAATAGATTAGTTTTATTTGTGTAGTTCAGTTTATTTTAATAGTTTCTTATGTTCTTCACTGTATGGCTGTCCATATGCCATGCAACTTGTATGGCTGTCTTCAGATTGTATGTGACTTGTATGGCTATCCACATGCCAGGAGGCTTAAAAAAAATCATTAAAACATATCGTGCTGGAGGAACTCATATTCAAAACGTTAAAAACAGTCTCACATAGCATCCTGTCCCTGTACCTGGGGGAAGAACCAGATCTTCAAGTTATTTCTACATTTCTGCATGGTTGAGGCCATCCCAATTTCTTGGAGAATGTTATTCCATAAAGCAGGTGCAGTAACAGAGAAGGCATGCCTCTTGGGTTCCATAAGATGCTTAATTGATGAGACCCAGAGCATGTCAAAATGAGCAGAAATAATTGGAGACAGGCAGTTCCACAAATATTTGTGTGCTGTCCCATGAAGGGCTTTATAGATTACCACTAGCAACTTGAATTGCATCCAGAAGCCCATTGGCAACCAGTGCAGCTCACATAGTAGATGGACTTGTGCAAGGGCCTTCCTAGCCATAGCTATTACTTGCTCTTTGAGAATCTGGGAGGAGCCTCAAATTATACACCAATTTTGTCTGGGGAAGTGGAACCCCATAGAGAACTAAGGATGGAAGATCTCTGGATCCAGGTGGCCCCTGAATCTACAGCCACTCAGTCTTGCTAGGGATAAGCCTGAGTCTGTTTTTCCCCATACAAATTTCTGCAAGCTCCATATACTGAGGCAGAACCATGACAGCATTGCTTGGTCAGTCTAGAGCTGACATATAACTGGGTATCATCAGCATAATGATAATACCTAACCCCATGCCAATGAATAACCTCACTCAGAAGTTTCATGTAGATGTTAAATATGAGTGGGGAGAGAGTCAAACGTGAAGCACACTACAAAGCAAGGGAATGGGGTTCAAGGAGTGTTGGGATGAAAGCACTGCACCCATCCCAATTCTATCAAAGATCATTCACAAGTGCAATCAATTATTATTATTTACATTTATAGACTGCCAAATCCCTAAAGATTCTTAGTGGTATACCGATAAGATACATAAGAAATAGTATACAATAAACAAAATATGGTAAAAAAAGTACACAAATACTAATGAAAAACAAAATAATGTCAAATTAAATAAACCAAACTATAACTAAATCAAGATGGGATTGAATGTTGCCCTGCTCTGTTTTCAGCAGTTTCTAGAAGGCAATTAGAATGGGAGCCACTTAGATATTTACTGGGAACCCATTCCAAAGAACTGACACAGCCACTGAAAGGTGGCCCCATCAAGCTTTGCCCCCTTTTCCCTAAAGTGGGGCACCACTATAATTGTTTCTCAGATAAATCAAATTGGCTGGGCCAATTTCAATGAGAAAATGAGGTTGTGCGGATAACTAGGGGCCAAGCCATGTAGGGCCTTAAATGTTAGCATCAGCACTTTGTCTATTGGCAATCAGTACAGGGCCCACAGCACTAGTATAATATATTCGTACTGGCAGATGCCAGTAAGTGCATGGGCCACTTCCCTCTGAACCAGCTGCAGCTTCTGAGTGATCTTCAAAGGCAGCCTCATATAGAGTGCATTGTAATAGTCTAAGTGGATGATTATGAGGGCGTGAGTCACCATAGCAAGATCTTCTTGTTCCAGGTAGGATCAAAACTGGTGCACCAGCTGGAGCTCATCCATTAATGCAATCGATGCTGTCTTTGTTCCATGTCTATGTCTGAAACTAGACTGTAGTGGGTGCAGATAATCCATTTCCTCTAGGGTGCTCCATAGTTGATTCCCCAGCACTGTCTCAATAATCTTCCCCGCAAATGCCTCCAGATCTAGGGAGAGTATCTTAAGAAGGGGGCACACCACAGCTTCCTTCAAGGCTGATGGTAGCATCTCCTCTCACAATGAGGCATTAACAGTCTCCCTGATCAAGGAAATTACCTCCTCCCAAGCTGCTTGAAGGAGCCAAGAGGGGCAAGGAGGACACCTTAGAGAACACCCTGTCCGCTTTGTGGGAGGTCACAAGTTGAAAGGAATCCCAGATAACTGGGCAAGATGATGCCTCAGGCATAATTTTGGACCTTGCCCACATAGTCAGGACTTAAGGAAATCTGGGTGATTTTGTCAGCAAATATTGTGCTAAGACTAAGTGATTAGAGTGGCTGGGTTTACCCTCTTGATGTTGATTCTTTCCTAACGGAATTGATCACCCAAAACACAATGCCATTCTCAGCGCTATATCCAGGCCTGAAACCTCTTTGGAAAGGGTCCAGATAATCTACTTCCTCCATGGCCTTCTGAAGATGTAGTCCAACCATCTTCTCAGCCACTTTCCTCTCAAAGGAAAAATTATAAACTGGTCAAAAATTATCCAACACTGTTGGATCCAGTAAAGCTTTTGTGAGTAGAGGATTCTTGACCATTACAATCAGTCCTCTACTTACAAACTTTCAAATTACCAACTTCTGCCAATATGAACAAAGCTGTCCGCAACTCCAACCTAGAAGGTCTCAGAAGGCAGGAAAGGGTTAGTTTATGGTCCGCCTTATAGGTACACTTGGCGGCACCGTTGTGCATTGGGAGGCTGAGTGTTTTATACTTGGTTGGACTTAACAAACAAAATGGATTTATGAACAGCCTCTTGGAATGTAACCTGCTTGTAAGTAGAGGACTGTCTGTACCTCCTTAAAGGTAGGTAGAATCATCCCCTTACTTAAAGATGAATTCACCATTACTTGGACCTAATCACATGTAATCTCCTGGAAAGCTTTAACCAGTTGGATAATATGGATCTGATAAATAGGTGGCTGTGCTCACTGCCCTGAGGAACCTGCCTACTTCCTCGAGACTAACTGGCTCAAACTCCTTTCAAATAATGAAGCCAGGCTATACCTCAGTCAGCTCAGCAGGACCTGCAGAGCCAGAATCCAGCTCAGAATGGGTCTGAGGCATCCCTCAGATGCCTTGAACAATCTCATAGCAGCCCTTCAGATGTTCTTTTGATGCTTCCCTTCCTAAGAGGGACCAGGTCCTTTTAAACAGTCCCATCTGCTCCTCAGAGCCCAACTTCACATACAGTAATCTGTGGAACCGCACTTCTGAAAGGCACAAATATCTGCTGAATGGCAGTAGCCGCTCCATAGCCCTTCCCTGGGTTTGTGGCTGATGCCATATCTGGAGCTCAGATGGGCACATTTCCATATCCACCCAGGTTTCAGTTTATGGGCTTTTTGTTTTTGTTTGTTTGTTTTTCTTGTTTTGTTTTATGAAAGTTAGTGCAGGGGCTTTGTCCCCCCCCCCCCCTTTTTAAGCATATAGTTCATTATGAAATAGGTAAAATGTTTCTTTATATACTCTTTTATATATTACATGGTTGTAATATATATACATCATATATGTACATTATGAAATAGGGTAGTATTTTTCTATATATACTCTTTTATATATTACACAGTTTACTAATTTACACTATTTACTAGTTTATAATATATATTAATATATAAAGTAGTTTAAGAAATGCCTACTGTAACATTTTAGAAATGTAATAAAATTATTTTTAAAAGGCTGTTAATGACAGGATTATTGCAGCCAAGCCTTCGCATAAGTAGCACAATTTTGGATGCAAGGTGAAAATTGAACACTAAACATAACTTGGTTAGTGTGTACAACTTATGGTCTGAATAATATGTGGTATTTGACTTGAATTAAAGTATTTTTCAGGTTCAAATTTATCTTTCTCTGCTCATAAAGGTCAAAATAATACTGTTAACTTACAGGATATGTGCTTGTACTTCTGTTTGACATTTCAGTGAACGTTCATCTTTATGTTATAGGTGAAGCAACAGAATGTGGAGCAACAAAACAAATGAGGTTCCCATACAAAATCCAAAGTTCTCCCAAAACAGGGATTCTATCAGAGGTATGGGTTTATTTAATTTTTACCTAACTTTGTGGAAAGAATTTTATCTGACTTTCTAAACTTTAACAGCATGTCCTGGAACTAAACAGAACAGAAACAGCTATCCATTGGGAAGAATGATCAGGATGTTGCCATCTATTTTCCTTATTCCTTAGCTTCTGCTAGCAAACATCCTGGTTTCCACTTGCAAATTTGTTAATGAAAGCTTCACTGCAATGTGTATTAGACAGTATGTACTGGAGGGGGACCCCACCAAGAGTTAGTATCTGCTATCTACAAGGACAACTGCTATCTACTAGGAAGAAGAAAAGAAAAAACTAATCAGTTCAAGATGCCAAATGCCAGGATGAAGGCATCCTCCCTTAAATTGTTATGGGGATGTTTGTGATAAGGAGTTTACAATCAGCTTTGTTCACACCAGCTTCAAAGGTGTTGCACATTCCTTTATGTTTCAATTTTATTAAGGCGATCCCATTCATCTGGAGCCTCTAAAAACGTGCTTCTTTCACCCAAAAACTTGCTTCTTTCACCCAAAGGTATATTTTCCTCACAAAAGCAAACAGGGAAGAGCCCTCTGTGGCCCACGCAGGGAGCATGCAGGCCCCTCCCTAATATCACAATTGCTATGGGAAGGGCTAACCCATCCACTTTTCCTACTCAACCTTGGATTTTTCCTGCACTTACTCTCCCCATCCCCGAAACACTTCTGCTTGGAACAACCATATTTTGTTTTGTATCTGGATCAAAGCTTCTGAAACATGTTTTGGTATGAACCACCTGAAACCATCTGTTCCATACACAAATCATTTTGTGTATGAACCATTTTGTTCTGCCCTGGTCTGGCTTCATACAACACAGTAACCCCAAACTAGACAAACTTACATTATGGTTTATTATGATGTATAAATCCAGCCACAGTCAGATAAGCATATATTCAGAGAAAAAAATATTGTAAATAGATTAAGTATTTAAAACTGTTATTAAACCTTGCAGTATGTTTATAATGAAGGTGATCCTTGAATTAATGTAATGAATGCTTTTTCAATTCTTTGTGCAGATTTAACAACAGCATGGGATGCTTTTTCACAAACAAAGGCAGCAGTAAGTAGTATTTTAGCATTGAATTAAGTGAAACTGAAAAGAAGCTGTACAGGACACTATATATTTAAAAATGAAAATTAATAACTGTTATGCTTATCTTGGAAATGTTACAGAACAGTAAAAGATTAAGATGCTTTTTCAGTAAAACAAAATCACTACCCTCTTAAAATGCACTTAGGAGTGCAGCCTCCCATCAGTTTGTCCTACCTGGACACTGACCTTTTTCTTAGCATCCTAGGATTCCCAAAATCAGTAAGCTACTGTCTTGCTTCCAACAAATATTCTCCTTGTGTGTGTGTGGTTGGTGAGGTGTTTTCCTTTTTCCTCCTTCCTTGTTTTTGTCAGTCACCCAGATTTTAATTTTAGATCTCTGAAAATGCATTTGATCTAAAGCAGTTCTTCTCAATTTCTTATATACAGTTTGCTTTTACAAAAAAAGTTTACTATTAAGGAATTTGCACAAAGTTCTCCAATATGATGAATTTGATATACCTGGCCTGTTATTTATTTGCCAGGATTCTTTTTTTCCGGATTGAAAAATGTAATCTAAATTGTGTCCTATAATAAAAACTTTGGATTAATGTTGAATGGAGTACAGTGGAACCTCGGGTTACGAACGCTTCTGTTAACGAAC